GAACGGGGCGGCCGCGGCGCCGACCCCGCAGGCCGGTGAGCAGCGCGCGGGGGGGCGCGGAGGTGCGAGTGCCTGCATGGATGTGTGTGTGTGTGTGTATATAGTATATATGTGTGTGTGTGTATATGTGTATGTATATAGTATGTGTGTGTATGTATGTATGTATATGTGTGTATGTGTGTGCATGCATGTACAGACGGTTTTGCTGTATTGCTAGCACTTCACATTGAGTTAGTGATTATTATTTTTAAGATTGCTTAAATTTGGGGTGGGAGGCTTCTCAGCCAGTGGAAGGCCTTGTGTTCTGCTCCTACGGCCTTTACCTGCAGTTTTAGGTGTTTTCCCTCCAACTGCCAAGTACAGCTGTGCAGACCACTCGTGCTGTGCGGAAGGGAGCAGGAGCTGTCAGTGACAGCTCCGTTATCCAAAATCTTCCTTAGAAGAGTGGGACTGCGGAACTCTTACAAACACCTTCTAGGAAGCCTTCTTGCTCGAGTTACTCAAATCCTGGGGCTTGTTCTGCTTTGCCAAAACTTTCCTGTGTTCCTTTGAGGACGCAGCTAGACAGGCAGAGCTACAGTCTAAACAGTTACTCTAGCCTGAGCATCGCAGTGCCTCATCCATATGAGGAAATGAGTGATGTTTATGTGATCTGAGTCTCTAATAATGTGGCTTTAATTCTTTACGTAGCAGGTATTTGCTTCTTGCAAAAAAAAGCAAGTAAAAACTACAAAAAGTTCAGAATAAAGTATTGATATGAATGAGGGAAGAGCAAAGAACATGAGATCATAATTTTTGAATAGAAATGGTGATTTCTGCAGTGCTCTTCATTTAAGTGGGAAATGAAGTAACTTATCAAAAATATTATGAGGCTTTATTCAAGGAATGGTTGAAAACTGCTATAATGATTCTTTGCTTTGGAGAGTGCAACTGAGACTGAAACTTGCCTTGTTTGTTTGGAATCCTGGATGTTTTAACAAATTAAGCTAGGATTGCTGCACCATATCTAACAAATAAAAAGGAGATTTTTTTTTTTTTTATCTTATGTTGCAATAAGCCGGTGAGGTTGAAATGTGTATTTTCCTCTTGGTGTTACGTCAGTGAGCTTAATGCACGTTGTAAAACAAGGGCCCGTTCCTCCGCGGGCTCCTTCATCTAGCCGCACGCTGGAGTCGCCCGCTGGGTGCAGTGGCCGTGCGGGCCCTTGGCCGGCGCTGCCCGGGCGGGTGCGGGAGCCTCCGCCGCAGCCCGGCAGGGTAGGAGCGCACAGGCCACGTGCGTGTGCGCTGACCCGGGGCAGCTTTGACGGAAAGTGGGGTCAGCTGTGGCAGCGCCGCTGACAGATAGCAACCTAGCACATGTCTGTAACTCAGCTCTGAAAACCTGCTCAAAGGCTGCTCTATAGATAGTAGTGCATTAATTTAACAGTATTCAGTTTCAGAGGGAGAGCAGTATGAGATGAGGGCTGTAGGAGAAAGGAATCACAATTTTCAAGCATTTGGAGTTACTGAAAAGCAAAACAAACAAAGAAAACCCCACAAATGCCTAGCAATTTGTAGAATGAAAAGTCACTAAGGTCAACATCCAGCACCAAAGGCTAATACTAATATAATACATCCTGCAGTAATTCTAATGAAGACTTGGACTGGTATCTATAAACTTGTGAAGAAAAAAATGGTAAATGTAGGATAGAAAATTTCTGTCTTTGAATGGCAAAACTGCCTATCAGACTATTTATAATTCATTACTAGTCACATTTAAGAGCATACTATTTGGGGTTTTATGATGTATTTAAATATATATCTGTGCAGCATATATAACTGTGCCATGTGGCTCAGGTTAAATAGCAAGTCGCTGTTGTGCTGTCTTGCAGATAACTTCCTTCTTAGTGACGAAGTCATAGCCAACGGCTTCCATTCCTGCGATAGCGATGAGGACGACAGGGCGTCCCATGCGAGCTCTAGCGACTGGACCCCGCGACCACGTATAGGTAGAGACTTACATAATGTTACTTTGGCTTCTGGGTGCTTCTGAACAGTTACTTAATTCTTCCCCGTCTGCAAAAGATTTATTGTTGCAGAAGACTTCTGGTATTACTTCTTCAGCAACTTAGAATTGCTGGATTAACAGTATTCTGGGTGATGTTTAAGGAGATTAAAAGTGAATCTCCTTACATTTACTGTTTTATCAGTTTGACTTGTCAATAGCCTTTTTTGTGTGAGTAGAAATCCTGCCCTGATCTGTGGTGAAGTATACATACAATCTCACTAAACTGAACAGACTTACAGCTTATTTCTAACCTACTTACTTGGTATTATTCATACTTTAAGGAACAAGAAGCTGATTCTAAAGTGTGGCCAAATCAATCCATAGGGCTAAGTGTTATATTGCTTTAGGAATGATTAGGTGGCCTGTTGCGGGTTTCAAGTTAAGCGTGGCAGGTAGGACCTCAGTAGAAAACAGTAGGTTTGGCCTTGTCCAGAGGTGAGGAGTGCTGAGGAGGTGGGTTTTGTGGGAAAGGATCTTCCCTGCAGGCCCTCCGGGGGCTGGAGCTCAGAGCTCTCACACAGGCATGATCCTGCCTTGGGGATCAGTCATTTTGCCAATATGGATGAGAACAGCAGCAGGGAAACATCTGATGGCAACACAGCATTTCGCGTGCTGTTTGGGTCTTGCTTGTCAGCTTAGCTGCTCAAGACTTACCTGTTTCTCTTCTGCCACTCCACTTCTGGATGGTTTGGGAAGGATTGATTTGATAGCTTTAGGAAGTCATGCCTGCCATCATTGGGGTAGATGTTGTTCTTAGGAATAACAAAAAATCCAGATGTTGGCCCCTATTTGTCTATTTAGGGCAGTGCTTTATAATCTGACTAGAAGGTATGTGTATGTATGTATGTTGTCTCTTCAACCTAATTCTGTATACATCCTATAAGACATTGCAAAAATACAACAAATGGGGTAATATGATAGAGATACATAGTAAAAATCATGTTTCTAGATATATGATCTTTAAAGAGTTTCCAAGCATCCTATAAACTGTGATTTTTACCTTGACAAACCTTCTAAGAAATCTATCCTGGGTTAACATGAAGTAATTACAAATAAATAAATATATAAGTAAAAAGATCCCAGCTCAGAATTTGGAGCAGGACACACAGGCTTTTTGATAAATAAGCCATTACACTGGGTTAATAAAATGAAGTAGCGAGCACTAATCACCTGCATAATCACCTGAAGTACTTAATGTTGATTCCAAATAATTATATATATTTTATTTTCTTTGCTAGGTCCCTACACTTTTGTTCAGCAGCATCTCATGTTAGGTACTGACCCACGGACAATTCTGAAAGACCTGCTACCAGAAACGATTCCTCCACCTGAACTGGATGACATGACCCTGTGGCAGATTGTCATAAACATTCTTTCAGAACCGCCAAAAAGGAAAAAAAGGAAAGATATTAATACTATTGATGACGCTGTGAAACTGTTACAAGAATGCAAAAAAATAATGGTCTTGACTGGAGCAGGGGTACGTATTGCCACAAGGACAATGTGAGACTAGTGAGGGAGTTGGTTAAACTCCTGTCCCCAGCCTGGCAGCAGGCAGATGATCCTACAAAAAACAGGAATGCTTGCGACCAGATAGCTCGTGCTGGGTGAGGAGGCACAGCTGTCCACTAGAACCATGTATGCTGCAGGAGTGCAGTTCAAAACCAGAAATAAATGACAAAATCTCTCTTCTTTTAAGAAAATATTCCTACACTTGTAAGACCTTAAAGCAACTGCTTCATATCTTGCCTAGTATTCAGACAAAATAATTATGGAATAAAATCATATCTTCCTGTTTCAGAACATATTTTTTTTTAATCCTAATCTTCTTTCTTCCGAAACAAAGGTAATGTTTTTTAACGCAATCTTGGTGAATCTCTTACAAGAGCCTGACTGGACTAGAATAAGTGTAAGAATAGGACTTAAAAGGAAAAGGATTATAACAAGCCTTTGGTTGCATTTCCAGTAGGCAGAATTATGCTTTTAAGTTGTGTTGCTCGGCTGCAGTAGTAAGATTCCTCACTCTTTTACTAAACAAAATTTGTGAACGGTTGAACACTTGCAGCCTTATATCCATGAATCTGACTGTGATACAGAAGTCAATCGTTCCTATATTGGGAGTGTGACATTATTCAGAAAACAGGAATAATCCAAATCAGACTATTTTGTCAGAAAAGCAGTGCTACTTCTATTGCCCAATCCTGTTTTTCCTCTTCTCCTATTTCTGGATAGTTGGGATGCGTAGTGGTTTCAAACACTGCAGTGCTCAGCTTTGTTTCTTGATCAGAAAGATTTTATTCATCAGAATTGAGAATCTATTCTGTTGCTGCATTAGCATGTAAAATACCAGCCACTTTGTCCAACACTAAGCTAGCAGGTCAGTAAACGCTTCCTAACTCAAATATAGTGTTTTACATCTTTGTGCATTTGTTACAGAACTTCCAATACTAAAAGTAAGTTCTGGTATCCTGTTACTGCCTTCATAAATTGTACTCAATTGTTTTGTTTGTTTTTGCCTTGGTTGTCAAACTTCCTTTCATTTATCTGTTACTTGGGAATTGGTCTGAAAAAAACACACACACACAAAAGAAAAATAAATATGGATAACTCGAACTGGTTGCATTCTCAGTGTTTGTTACTACATGGAAGCACGGTTTCACAAACATGCTGTATTGCAGCAATGATTTATAGTCAAGCATGTATAGTTCTGCTTACTTAAGACTGCCAAAATCTATTTCAGGTTTCTGTGTCTTGCGGAATCCCTGACTTTAGATCAAGAGATGGCATCTATGCACGCCTTGCTGTCGACTTCCCAGACCTTCCAGATCCTCAAGCTATGTTTGATATAGAATACTTCAGAAAGGACCCCAGGCCATTTTTTAAGTTTGCAAAGGTACGCTTTCCTCTACGTTCTCAGCTTGGACAGTCAAGATAAATAACAAGATATGTTAACAGAATAGTTTTATATCTGATTCTAAAAGACATCTTTATCTATTTTTGTACAAACAGGATGGAAAAATACGTTAAATGTGTTCAAATTTACATTAATGAGAAGCCTCTTCCAGTATCATCATGACTTTCTCCTTGTCCCATCTTTGCAATATATCAACTTTATATCCTCAGTGTTCCTTAAATCATTGTATACAGGCACGTATTGGCCTTACTAGCCATATTTAGCAACACTTTATTTTTTTCAGATTCTTTTAACTATTCCTATTACAATGTCTCTATATACACCCATTCATGTCTCTAATTTCAGAGAAGATAAATACAAACTGTTGTCATGTAATTATTTGATCTAACCTCAGTATCCTTAGTTGGTGTTTAATTTGCCTCTGAAAGTGAAGGAATAGAAATATGAGGAACTTTTTGACAGCACATGAATAATGTTGAAAGCCACATTCAAATTGGACGCGTTGTGTTGTACTGTTTAACGTTACACATCTGCACTTTTAACTCTGTATTTACAGTCAAGGGAGGAGAACGCTTGGATACACCAGAACTTTGTTTCTGTTTCACTTTTTTTACTTAAAACCTTTTTGTAGAGATTGTGCTCGCCTCACTTCTTAAAATGAGTACGCAGCAGTTTTTAGAAAGGTGTTAGTGAGACTGAACAGTTTAATTAAAAAGGGGAGAGTGCATCTCAGAGACAGGAAGGAATCACATAGGCAGAAACAAAATAATTGTATTTAATCTGCAATCTTCTCAAGACAACTTACAAAGGCAAAATATTGTGAGTGACTACAGGAGCAGTGAGGACTTGTGCAAAGCTGTCATGACTAGAGTGTGCTCAATGTTTCCTCTCTTTGCTAATGAGTCTTGCTACTGCTCTACCATTGATCCAAAGGTGGGGAAACTAAAATCAATATATCCCACCTCCTATCCATATATTAATATATTTTGATTTTCTTTAGAGTATTCAGTTTCTTGGGTTTTTTAAACATTTGAAAAAAATACAATTGCTAGGAGCCTGTCTATAGCTAGGTTTTATCAGAATCAATCCAAGTCCAATGTAGATAAGATTTCGTTACTAAAATATTTTCTCTCACTTCTTCCCTTTCCTATTGCTCACTTCAGCTAAAAAATTAATTTCTTAATCCATTACATCTTAGGCTGCTTTAATTTTTAGGATCAAAAAATGGACCAATGAGTTTTCAAATTTGTAGCAAGTAGGATGTCTTATTTAAAACAAAAACCTGAAACGCATAAAGTCACCTCAGCTCCCCTTTCTAAGGTACCTCTGAATTCTGCAGGAAATATATCCAGGACAGTTCCAGCCATCTCTCTGTCACAAGTTCATAGCTTTAATGGACAAAGAAGGAAAACTACTTCGCAATTATACACAAAACATAGACACACTGGAACAAGTTGCAGGAATCCAAAGGATAATTCAGTGTCACGGTTAGTAATTTTCAAAAGTTTCACTTAATATTATGTGTAGCAACTATGTTTAGCAGTCTATGTGACATACTTGTAATCTCTCTAAACTACTGAAAATCCTTATTTCTATCATACTTTTCCCCCCTCAGGTTCCTTTGCAACAGCTTCCTGTCTCATCTGTAAATACAAAGTTGATTGTGAAGTGGTTCGAGGAGATATTTTCAACCAGGTAAAATTAACTTTAATTCACTGCAGTTTTCTAACTGCTAAATCCTACATTGCTTAAAAGGTGTCTATGTATTTGTAAAAGGCTCTATGTTTCTGTATATTTCCTAGACATGCCTACCCATATTTTAGTGTTTTCTCTACTATACTCAAATACTATACTGCAAATACTGAAATACTGCAAAAAATAGATAACTGAAAAAAAAGGGAGGAGGGGGAACTAAATTTTAAACAACTTTATGAAAACCTTTCAAAATAAGTATTCGAAGCATAGTCTCTCGATTTTCTAGTCTCTCATTTCTCAGTGCAGTATTACTCGAGTTTTTAGTTTTGTTACCTTTCTAGAATGCAGGATTGGGTTCCCTAGAAGGACTTAGAAGAGTATTTCTGTACTTCCTGGAGGAGTGACGGAACATGTCAACAGCTCTGTTCCCTAACCGGGACCACCCACCCACCACAAAAGTGGTTCGGGCACCTACGGCCTCACAGATCGTCTAGTCTCTGTTCTCTCACTTCTGCTGCTTCTAAGTTGCATGTGGCCATGGGTCCTCAGGTTTCTGTAAAAAGACTTTCCTTTCCTCTGGTCCATCCCAGGTAGTCTTAATTTCCAGTCCAAGAGCTTCATGAGATCAGAAACTTGGAATTAACTTAGCATCTTATTGTCAGGAATGTCCTTTCAACACATTACAGACTGGGACCTGACCCCCCATATAGAAGATTGCCAGTTTCTTGCTGCTGCTTTTCATTCTTCTGCCACTTCCAAGATAAAGTGTGTGGCTCTTTCTCTAGTTCTTGCTGGACACAAGCAAGACACAAGAGCCTCTTTCTGCATCAGAAGCAGCAGCAGTTGTAAATCATCCAGAACAAGCTTATGAGGAAAAAAAAAAAAACAGTTATTTCTGGAAAACATCTTCCTTCTATTTCAATAAGCTTCAAGAAATAATGAAAGAGGGTGAGTCTCAGATTCAGGAAAAAAAAAAAAAAGGAATAAGAAATGGAAAATATGCTGCAGTTTTTGGATATTCTTAAAGCCTAACTCTTTCTTTAGTCTCTGATAACATCAGCGAAGAAATTGTACTTTTCTTTCATTACACAAATGCACCGAGGCAGTAGGGGAAAAAGGACCTGAGGCACCTGCGGGGCCCATTACTAGCCTTAACTTCTTGGTATCAATTTCAGCGCTTGGAATAGATCTTCCCTCTTACTGACGATCTTTCTGAGGATTAGCAGAGAAGCTGGTGAGTGAAAGATGTGTCGTGTTGAAAACACACATTTATCACCTGAACGTCACCTCCAATGAGTTGGTTGGATAGGGGCATCAGCTGTTCCACAGAAATCCATTAAATCACAAGTCACTGGACTTCCTGTGGGAGGTGCTGGCAACGGAGCTGCTGTTGCTGCTTGGTCTTTTAAACTGGATCACAAGTTAGAGGCCTTTGTTTCATCTTCCTCCCAACACAGAGCAAACTACTATCCCTCCTTAAGCCTCCAAGCACAAGGGCCAAGGCATCCCTCACAGCAGCAGAGGAGACCAGGCAGGGTGGAAAGCCTCCGAAAAGCTCCTGCAGTGGTTTGTGTGGTAGCTCTTTCTATTGCATAGCATTAAGTGAGCCAAAGGAAAATCTCAAGGTCATCCTAGGTCTTTTGGGGGGATTCTTTAGCTGGTTTCTTTTTACTGGGAGGAGTTACAAGACACTGTTTAGCTGGGATATGTCAGGAAGGTTTCTTCCCTATCACCTTCTAGTTCCTTTCCCGTATGTGGGCACCCCTCCTCCAAGGATTTGTTCAAAGGATTAGATTCTCCTGTCGGGACTTGAGTTTTGGGAGAGGTGCATTAGTATTTTAGAGAAGGGCCTTTGGATGCTTTTTCCTATGGAAAGCGTTGTCTCGTCCAACTGTGGACATCCATAAATGTTTCTCTGGTTTAAACTACAGCCTGTATTTCTTTATACATTGTGTACAGGCAGGTGTTTCATGTGCTCCCCTGTATTATCCTATTACAGTAGACAGAATACTTCTCTTGACACCTTCACATAGCACTAAGTTACTATGAGGACTGCAATAGGATGCAGCTCTTTAGAGAGCTCCTTATTCAGTGGTGTTGTATGCTGAGACCGCATCCGAGAAGGCTTGAACCATTTGGAAGAAAATTTTCTCAGTACTAATTTAAGTCATGTCTGTGTGCACTCCCATTCTTCACCTTCCTGCTGTTCTCCCCAGCGATGAAGAGTTGAAAGGTATCCCAAAGACTTAAAAACCTTCTGGCTTCAGGAAGAAAGGGACTCTGCTTCTTCACTTTTAAAACCCTCCCTTTTTTTTTTAAGGAACAAGGATTCTGCTTCTGCCCTGTTTTGGGAGGTGGAGAGAGTTTAAAATGGAGACCAGAGTTCTTTTCCACGTTCTTCTGTGTGCGCTCTGCTAGCAGCTCCGCTGGGGCAGACTGCTTTATTAATATAACTCACAGCCTTTTGGGGGAGAGGTAGATGCAGCTCTGAAATGTGCCCTTCAGTGGGGAAGGGCTTTATATCAAACCCCATAAGGACACCTGATGGTGAAATCTAATTTTTTGTTCTGATTGATAACACAGGCAATCACTCGTTGGACTGGGTGGGCTGTCAGATAAGGACTGGGGTGTAGATTTGTTTTCTCCTTTCTGATTTAAGATAACTCCCTCTTTTTTCTTGCTTTTATTTCTGCGCAAGTTTGGTGCAGGCCAGGATAAGGTAAGTCCTTGTCTGTACATCCACAGAAGACTAAAATGAGGAAATTCCATTGAAACTTCTTGTCTTTTGCCAAAATAAATCACTGTGAGTTGCTAAACCGCGAGGTTTTCAGCTGGCAGCCGCAGCAGTAACGTGAACTGTTGCAATGCAGGTTGTTCCTAGATGTCCCAGATGTCCCCCGGACGAACCGCTTGCCATCATGAAGCCGGACATCGTGTTCTTCGGAGAGAACCTACCCGAGCAGTTCCATCGCGCCATGAAGTACGACAAAAACGAAGTCGATCTCCTCATTGTTATTGGGTCTTCACTGAAAGTCAGACCAGTAGCATTGATTCCAAGTAAGTGACTATCTCTGATAATTTTACCTTCTAAATTCTTGATCAAAAAAATTAAATTTGCCCTTAAGGTTTCTTAAGAAATGCTCTTGTCCTGATTCAGGAGAGAAACTAGGTTATTCATCTGACTTGATGAAATCTGATTATCTGTGCAAAGCTGAGATCAAAATAGACAAAAGAAAATTTGGAGGTTTTTTTTTTCCTAAATCCCCAGCAGATCTCAAACTATAATCTTAAAAAAATACTTTGCTGAAACTTGAGTGAATTTGTCTTAAAATTCAGTTAACTTGTCTCTGTGTTTGCAGTACACTCTCAGACTTACTCAAAAGGTTTTGACTGGAGAAGTCCAGATCTAGTTGTTTGGTGCTCCATTCAAGCACAGTAGGTTTCTGAGCCACAGCTTATCTTAAACTTGATGTTATTTGTTCTATAATGAGCAGTAGACCCTGTATAGCAGCACCTGATCATCTTACATCCTTAGCTGTTAAAAGTAAAAAGGTAAAGCATCTGTTCTAACATACATACATACGTTATTTTTTAAAGGGCATTTTTTTTTTAATATCATCACAGGTCACTTATTTATCTCCTGAAAGACTTGCTGGTACCAAGGAAATTCTGTTTAAACCTCAGCCTGAGAAAACACACACTTAACACCTGCTATTTGCTGGGAGCAGAATCCTGTCAGAGCTGTTTGCAGTACCATGCCCTGGCTGATGCTAAGTGTGCAAGGATTGGAAAGCTGGCACCACACAAACCATTGCTCTGGCCCTGGTTTCATTATTTAGGCATCGAGGGTCACCAAATTAGTGGGTTTTGGAACCCTCTAAGTATCAGAAGGGGGTGGAGCAGCCCTGTGCACACGCAGACTGTACCCACAAGTATTCTGGCTTAGCTAAGGAGATGCAGTTTAGCAGCAGGATCACCTTCATGCAATTCCTATAAATATCACTAGTAGGATTTCCATTAACCTTTTCAACACTTGACAAAACTTACTTGTACCAATCAATACTGTATATAGATTTGCTACTGATAAAGAGAAAGACCTTTTCCTGGAAGAAATGTGTTGGAGGAAAACCTAGGTAGACTTCAGTAGGGGGTAGCATCTGCAATTGCTGTTCTGGTTTTAGTAAACTTGAAATTTGCTATTCCCAATCTGCTTACGTGGGCTGTTTTGCAAGTAAATACATAAAGACAACTCTGAGAAACTAAATGTTCTAAATACTTAGCGTACAAAAATAAAACTAAAGTGGCTCTCTCTAAATATCTCCCCTGTATGTAGGTTCCATCCCCCATGAAGTGCCTCAAATCTTAATTAATAGGGAGCCTTTGCCGCATCTACACTTCGACGTGGAGCTTCTCGGAGACTGTGATGTTATCATTAATGAGTTGTGTCAACGGCTAGGTAGCGAATACACAAAACTCTGCTACAACCCAGTAAAACTTTCTGAAATAACAGAAAAGCCTCCACGAACACACAAGGAGCTTGACCTGCACTCATCTGACTTACCACCTACCCCTTTAAACATTTCGGAAAACTCTAGTTCACCGGAAAGGATGACTCCTCCGGCCCCTTCCGCGGCGCCCTCGGAACAGCCGGCTGAGCGCAAAGTAGAAAACTGTGATTCTGCCTCCGAAACGCACAGGAGCTGCCCGGGGGAGACGCCTCCGGAAACGCAGCCGTCCCTGGAGAACGCCGAGAACGCGACTAGTGAACTGATGAACTCCGAGCCAATGAAGGAAAACGGATCCAACAGTGGAGAAAACAGAGAAAAGAATGAAATCCTGAGGAAGTGTTGGGTAACCAGAGCTGCGAAAGAACAGATCAGTAAAAGGCTGGATGGTGAGTGTTCACTCCCCGGAGTGGTCTGCGTATTTCGATAAGTTGCCCGTAAAGGCATCATTGGTTTTTATGATTTCTTCTGTTTAGGCAATGTCTTCTGAAACAGCCTAGTTCTCTGATGTTTAAGGTTTTAATTTAGTTTGAGGAAGCTTCTAGATTTTTTTTTCTTTTTAAATTGGCAAGGGCCTTTATCACGACTGACTGCATTCTCCCTAGAGAGACCAGAGTTTAGGAGGTTAAACCCAAGACCCAAGTGTCAAAAGTTTGGTGTTCCTCACATTTGCAACAGCATTTTCAGGAAAATCAGTTTGATCCTCACATTATAAGCAGCTGCTCTTTTGCATCCCAATTTAGCACAGCAGTTGTCTCATAGAGCCAAAGGAGGAAGGTGTGATACTGTATAGGAGGTGGAAATTTGTATGATCTGTAAGGTCATAGAACTACTGTGTGAAACAGAATCCAGACCTTGAGACAGAAGATGCTTGCCTGCCTGGGCTGAGCAGTAAGGAGCGCGGAGGCGGCTGCTCAGCCAGGTTCACAGTCGACCTCCAAAAGCAGTTGAAGGCGGCTGCTCAACCGGGCTTGTAGCCAACCTAACCGCAGTTTGGAGGTCAAACACCCAGGAAGGAGGAAGAAGATGAGGAAGGCAGGACCCTCAGACTAAGGCCTGGGACCCCTTACTGGTATGCGTGCCTGCGCACCCAGGAGGGCAGGTTGTGTGACTGAAGGTGGTTTGTCCGCCCCCGTCCTGCCTCCTGGCACGTACTGGCCCTACCTGCCAGGATGCACTGGGCATAAAAAGTGCGGAGAGAGGGGGGAACGAGACTCCTAACACCGAGGCCCACGTGGTCCCCGCGGGGACGCCCGCCGCGGTAGGAGCCTGTCAGCAACCCTCTAATCCGCCAGCTCGAGAGGCGGTTCGGTCTCAGTGTGCTGCTGGCAAGTATTACCTCGTGAGTAACCATCCGTACTTTGCTTCTCTGTTTATGTGTTTTTACCTGAATAAAGGCTTGACGTAGCCACCTCGTTTTGCGTGATTATTGCTCAATCCCAAGCCCATCAGTAACAGATACCAGTTCAAAAGACAAACAAGCCAAAAAACCCCCAACAAAACAAATCCTACACCTGAAACCAGGCCATTCTGAGAAAAGCTTTGGAGTTGGCAAGGAAAACTGTGTTAGCTGATGCATGTAACATAAGTTATCCCCCACAAAGAAAGAGCAAGGATGGGTAAGTGGGTATTAAACTGCAACTTTTAAAACAAAGGCTGCTGTTAAACTTAGTCCAATAGCCCCAGCAGTGGGTTCCAAAACTGTGTTACAAATAATGGAAATTGAGCTGAGTAGAACCTGTGCTAAAGAAGAAGGTAGCTAAATATCAAAGTTGAAAAGCAGAAATGCTTTTCTATTTTTATGCAAAAGGGCAGTGGGAGAGGGGGAATCCTTGTCTCACTCTGTACCTACTATTACTGCTAATACTCTGGAAGGAAGGAGTTTCTAATAAATTTGATTGGTAAGTTAAATATCACTTTTGAAAATACATGTATGCAGATAGCTTCTAAAGAGAAGTCTGCAACATTTTTAATGACTGCAATTCACTTCAGCTTCTTATTCACTTCTGCAATTCTGTTTCAGGCACTCAGTATCTCTTTCTGCCACCAAATCGCTATATTTTCCACGGTGCCGAGGTGTACTCGGATTCTGAGGATGATATCCTCTCTTCTAGCTCTTGTGGGAGCAGCAGCGAAAGCGGCTCCTGTCGTAGCCAGAGCTTAGACGTGGAAGAGGAGAGCGAGATGGAGGAGTTCTATAACGGCCTGGAGGATGAGGACGCTCCGGAAAGGGAGGAGGAACCTGGATTTGGGGACGATGGAGTCGAACCAGATGCAGCAGATGAACCAGCTTATGTAAACGAGGCCGCAGGGACGGATCATCCGACCAGCCCCACATTGTAAAGTGTACACTTCCACTCACTGACTGGTTACAGGAACTGTCCACCAGCATTAGGAGCTTTGGCATGTCAGAATGAATGTTTACGTCTGAATTTAGAGCAACAGAACCATAAGGATGTAGTGTTTATAAACAACTAAAACAGATTTTCATGCTTAGTTTTTTACCTTTTTCAATAAAATTCTATTACTGCGCACTCAACACTAACTCATCTTTTTTTTTTTTTTTAAAAAGGTACTAAGACTATCTAAACAATTGTCAGTCACTATGTTCACTTTTAAGTTCCTCTCGTCTTATCAGCCATTCATGTATATAATACATATTTTTGCTTAATGGATTTCAGCTTATATTATTTTTAAACAGTTTTTTGAAAAAGCCATTGGAATGTTAAACTAATATAAAGGGAACAGCTAATTTAGACCAAAGAATGGTATTTTTACACCTCTTGCTTTGTAATAGCTTGGTTTATTTAAAACCTTATGCTTCTGCTAAACCTTTCATTCTTGCATAGTCTGTCATTAAACACTGGCATTTCCTAAGACCTACTGTGGCAGCTAATTTTTGCTTTAACAGTTACTTTGTATGTTTGAGACATACTTAAATGGGAGTAGTTAGTTAAAAATGGAAACAAGACAGTGAGCGCTTGAAAAATCCTACTATGCTTTTGAGAGTGATCAAAAAGTGCTATGAAAATGCATCGTGCTCAAGTTCCTGAGTTTAGTACTTCCTATGGACATGCAGTAAAGTTGACATGGGCTCCTTAGCTCTTCCAAAACTGGCCTTCCCTTTCCAACAAAACGGATCCCCAGCTGCAGAGTTCCACGGTGTTGGCAGGACTAGTGCAGCTTGCATAAAACAGCTCTGGTTGCTGCCACAGTGCTGCCACGCACGTGGGACCGCCGTGACAGCCGTAGCGCTAGCAGAGGTCAAGAGGGAGCAAAGAAAGAAAAAACTCTCGTGTATTTATTGATGGCCCTGTGGGGAGGGCCCTGTTAGCAGGACATGCCCAGGCCGGGAGGTTTCGCACCTGCTCGTTCCACCCTGCGCGGTGAAGCAGAGCAGCTACTGCAATTCCTGCGCTGCATCTTCAAGTGCTAGGCTGCCTTAAAACTGGATGTTGCAGATTTGCAAGTGCAGGTTGTTTCCAAGCCTTTAGAAATTAGTAAATTTGCACAGCGCAGTATTAAGTGAAACAGCATTTTTCTATAAACCACTTTTTCAACATTGGCCCAAGTGAACTCTACAGATGTAGATTATTCATATTCTTTGCTTTAATATTTATTACATTTTGGAAGATGTATAGCAGTTGTTCTTTAAACATAAGATACAACAGTTTAAGAACAGCCTTCTCTACTTATCTAAAAATGCTGGCATGTTGTCTCATGGTCCAAACTTAATACAGCTCTTATTTGGCTACACTGAAGAATGCAATATGTTTAGTTTTCACTTGCATGTCACAATGTATTAGTTTGTGCTATAGGAGATATTTTAAATTGAAATACTTTGTTTTAAATTATTTTTACAGTGAGGATTGTTTTCTGCTCTTTTATATTGTATATAGTGTCTTTTATGTAATCTACTGGCATATGTTTTGTAGAAGACTGTTTAAAATGACTGGCTATCTTCCTGCAACTTTTGAAATACAAAACCAGTGTTTTATACTCGTACACTCTGTTCTAAAGTCTATTAAAATTGTCATTTGATTTCTGGTTTCCATCAATTTGTATTTTAAGCCTTAATTTAACAAATGAAGTCAAGAGTGGAGATGCCTTCCTTGAATAACATACGTAAGACTAAGCACCCAGATGAAGTTTAGCGGAAGGCAAACGATGGGGATGTGGGAATGTTTGCTGGCACAGCAACGTTACCCACAGCCATTCAGCATCTTAGATTAAATGTTTGGGGAAGCTTGGAAGAGCTCCTTCAGCCCTGGTTGTCATTTTGGGGTTTTTGGGTTCAATTCATTTTCTAGAATTTGTATTAATTCCTTCTGAAAGTGTCCTAGCCCTTTTGCTATTTACAGTAAATGACCATACTGAACAAGTACAAGCATTTGCTTCACGATACATCAACAGGTTTACCCGCCTGCCCCCCTTCTTAGTACTAGTTTATTTTGATGATACGATAGCCTTGCAAAAAGTATTTCAAGTATATAAAACAAGTCAGTACTTAAAACATGCAATAAGTTTTCTTGAATGGCCATGTATTCTGAAAGGGTCTATCCTAAACTCAGTAGATTTTAATTAGTAATTATGATGATGAAAAACACAGAAAGTTCATTAAGTGCATGATACTACTGCCTCGAATGACCGTGTATTCAGAGGGGCTGTAAGCTCCCACCATTTGAATGACATCAGAAACAACAAAGTTGGGAAAAGGACCAAGGTAACAGCTCTGTACTTCAGGTCCGATACTCTGTGCTTAAATACAGAATTGGTCTACTCAAGCCTGAAGGCAGCCAATTTGCATTATTATACCTACCTATAGAGATCAGAGAACAAAATTCAAGTCTCAAAATACAGATTTCTAACAACAAAACTACACAGAATAACATTAAATGGTACAGACTGAAGCAACCAACAGTGCCTTAACATCCTGGCTCCCTGCTCCATGGCTTTTACAAGACACACAGGCTGCTGGGCCTCGCAGGGAAGAGGGCAGAGCAGGCGCCCAACATCCCCGTGACCTGAAAGGCTCCGACAGCCTCACGGGAAAGCTCCAAGCAATAGACTTGGAAGAGAAACAAGGGGTCAAGCTGTGGGGAAGAGAGGCAAACGCAGCAAAATCCGAGATGCAGAAAAGGCCTAATTTAGGGAGCACAAGATACAATGCACAATGCAACAACCTTTGGACAGACACACTAGCAGACCACGAGGTAGGAAAGAGTTAGTGCCTACAAGAGGCAGCCCAAGGGCCGCGCAGCACCGGGCCCTGCACGCACGCGGGGGCCCTGCCCCTCATGGGCAGCCCCAGCACCAGTGCTGTGCACACAGGCACTGCTGCTGGACCAACCGCATACAGTGTTCAATTATAAACAGTTTCACCACGGGAATAACCTTTTGGAAGCCGAAGAAACCCAACGCATAAACCTGCTTCAGTGATTTTTTTCTAACACCATGTCATTATTAAAGCACTCAAACTGCAAAGCAGTGCTCCTAAGCAGAAGCTTCTGCTGAAGCAAACCACCCCTTCCACAGCACGCAGAGGGCTCGGGGGCACCCCCGCAGCCCCCAGCTCTGGCAAGCAGGCCATGGGCTCCTTCCCTGCTGCTGGCAACGGCTCCTAGAGGCCACGTGCAGCACAGAAGATGCCTCCCCTCTCACCGCCCTCCAGACCCGCGCTGGGGCAGAGTTCTGCCCGGACTGCCTCTCCCTCGCAGGGCTGCGAGCAGAGCACGGCCGGGGCGCAGGCACGGGGAAGCACCCCGGCCTCACACAGGGTTCTTCTACCTACTCCTCCACCGACAGCCCCCATTTAGCTCCCCTGTGCCACCCGGAGGTGCCACCTGCTTGCACCTCTCGCCCAGTAAATCTCAGCAGCAGGAGGGCATTTGCATGCATAGAAGCTATGGCAATAGATGCTATTCTACATATTTTTTACATGTGTTCATCTCCCAGCAAAATGCTCAGGAGCATTTCTAAGGCACAACTCTAAAACCTGTTCTACCACCCGGTAAATCCAATGCCTTTAGATAAACCTGTGCCTTTAGAGATCCTGGCCGGGTTTTAAAGACATTGCTTCAAACACCATCAACAGAAATCTGAACAGCACATTCAAACACAAGATAATAGCTAGGACATGGGTTCATCCAATCCCCAAACTGACCTACAAATTACAAAACAGCTCCTCAAAAAGCAATGGAAACTTATTATAACAAATGCTTTTTTTTTTTTTTTTCCTTTTTTTTTTTTTTTCTTTTTTTTTTTTTTTTTTTTTTAAAAAAAGCAACTAGTAAGATGGTAAATAACCTTCTGAGCACGTATCAAAATGTTGATCTGCCTGTTGGAAAAGCTTCTTTCAGATTTTTAATTACTTACCGCAGTAACTGAGTAACTGGAGATCTGAGGTGAAGAGAAGCCCCACGCTGCTGTGGCTAAGCCTCACAACGGCTGAGCTGATCTTCCTTCCTCACCCACCGCACAGCACTGAGTGCTGCATGCAGAAAGGCTGCTTGACCAAGGAGAGCAAACATGCGCTTCATGCCACCCGTTTCTAGTCAGAGGAAACACTTCAGCATTTAACTTGTGCAGAAGCCCTGCACATGGCTGTTACGACTCAACAGAGCCAGCGGCTCCGTACGTACTGTCTCCAAGTATGAACAGCTACTTGACACAAGTGATACGACGTCTAATCGTTAATTCCTCCGCCTCTAGGACACTGCAAATCCCTCACCTTATACTGTAGGTTAGGTCTGTTTTGCACCAGGGCACCTGTCTCATTGCCCAGAACGAGCTAACACCTGTAAGATAATCAAGAGCATTTATCAACCCCACCTTGCTCCGAAGGAGCCAGCCCCCGTGCTCACAGAAAGGCCAAAACTGCAACAGGAGGAATGCTGTCCTGCTCGGACCACGGGCTCGTGATGGGACGTTCAGCCAGTCATTCAAAACACACCCAGAAAACACCGCCCGCCCCCTCGAATTTTTCAAATTTCAGCTACAGTAAGACATCCCTGCTACAGAAACCTAGCCAATATTAACTGCCTATGTAAAGTTCTCTAGGACATTCTGAATTTAGTACTGAAAAAATCAGTGCACGTTCAGTAAAGGGAGTTTGGATCATCCCAGAAACCCTCATCTACCAAATGAAGCCCCTGCTCACCCCAATATTAACACTGGTATTGATAAAAAGTCCCACATGGCAAAACCCACAAATAGTGCATAGCTATGTAGAGTGCTGGGTTTAGATGCACACCAAATCAGGCTTGGACCTACCAACTGGAAACAAACCTTTAACTGTCACTCAGTGAACGTCAACTGTGTGCAATGAGTAGAGCACAACTCCCATGGCAAAAAAAATAGCACATGATCAGGTAACACCCAAGGCAAGAAGCAAGGACAGCTTTACATTAGTCATTGCCTAATTTTTGAGTATTTGCCTTGGTAATCTTGTTATTTCATAATTCTTAAAGAGTGCTTTATATTACCTGGTGAAATGAAGGCATATTTTTTCCCTTTCTTTCTTCCATGTGAATTAAGATTAAGATGCTTTAATATTTGTTGGTCTCTTGTCTCTCACAACAGGAGGGTTTGCCAGCGAGGTAACAATGTTGAAAAAGATGGACTACAGGCTGCGTACAAAGAAGTTACTAGAGGTTACAGTGCATCAGAGCTGTGAAAACACAGAGTGTTATGGAAAGGGGAATGCCTTTAGCTATTCTGACCTTGTATTATACATCTATATACTGCTAGTACAGTAACTACATATATTACACTCCATTACAGCAAACACATTTTCCTGCTTTAGAGTGAGCTCCTAGTATCCTAGGTGTACTCTTGATTTAGGGCATGCAGGGCACCCTCCTACTGAAGTATGCATGATGCAAGCACCCATACACATCAACCAAGAAAAGTTTTCATTCAAGTCTTTTATTATAGCTTGAATTGTTTTCACTGCATTTAAAAATCTAAAAAAAATAAATATTTGTTTCACAGCTGCAAGTCACATATGCATTAACACCACAAACAATCTGGAGCTTAACCAAAGGAAGGAAGTCAAATCCAAAAGTGTTCAGCTAAGCACAATTGTCTCAGGGCAATTATACTAAAAATAAACTTTAAGAAAAAGGGAAGGGGTGTGTTAAAGAGTTATTTCAAATGCATTTATCTGGAAAAAAGTGAAAATTCTATTAGAAACCATAAACTACGCTTTCAGCATTTAAAAAATAAACATTTAACCTCTTGACAGTAACATCTGTCTGGTGCATCTTTTGCTCTTAGGCTGTATTCTTGACCATGGCTGCACAGGTTACCATTGATAAATTAACCTCTTTTATAATTGTGTTCACATAATTACAGAAGCAGTCTTTAAAAATAAACGTGTATTAATTCACCTTGTCCACCCATATATTATAAAAACCATTATTTGTAGTTTTGTACCAGCACTAAGTGATTGCTTCACGGAAATCACTGGATTGTACACTCTGAAGATGAATGTCTTTTGAGCAATCACTTCCATTATTAAGGTTCTTAAAAGAAACCAGAAAAATATATCTTCAGAAATCAGAGTAGTCACTTTTTGTTAAAAGACATAAAATAAGCTCATATTCATTACAAGCAATAGAAACCATAGCGCTATTGGAACATAATTATTTTATCACAAAAAAGTTTATTTACAAAATGAAAAGTTATCAAGTAAATTTATCAGGCAAAGAGCTAAATGTTCTTACTCAGTGATCTGAAAAACGCAGGCAAGTCTCTCATGCACTCACACACCAAATTGTTTGTAGAAGGTGAAATGTTAATTCATGTTAGTGAAGCATGACTTCCATTCACAATACTCTCATTTTTATTGTAAGATGGCTTAAAACACATGGTTCTGTACAAGAATGGATGTATTAAGACAGTTCTTCATTTCTGTAATTACTTTTTGGCTCCCATGAATATCCATACCACTGAACATTTTGCAAATAATCAGTTATATTATCATCTCCATCATCTAATCCACTGAATTTACCACCACAAGAAAGACAAAAAAGTTAGTTTAATGATCCCACATTACACAGAACTCTCATTTCTGAAGTTATACTAGACTGAAACCTTCATAGTGATCTATAGCCTGGATCAGCTTAGATTTTAGGGTTTTTTTATCTGTGTATTTTGGAAGATCAAGAAGATTAAAGCAAGTGTGAGCTACTGGAAGATAACCTTCTCCACCTCCTGTTGGTTGGATGACTAGTTTAAGACACTTCATTCCAAGAATTGGAATACGATCACTGCCTGTCAGAAACACTGCCAAGAAAAAACAAACACAAAGTCCTGAAGGTAGTTTAAAGCTAATACTGTATACCCCCCTATACCACTCTTCTAAATGTTATTTACACTTTTCAATTATTTTAACAGCAGTTTCACATTAAGCTTGTTCAGATAAACAGAAAAAGACCAAGCAATGACTCAATTTGCTCTCCAGCTTGCACACATAAACTCTTAACTGTGACACAACAAGCGATATACAAAAGAAAACTCTTCAGCATGTGAGGCCAAACAGTCAAGTAGGAAGTTGTATCAGGATGTATCTTTTAAAAATAGTTATCTGTGCCATTATCACATATTTAATTATCCTATAAATAAAAACAACTTTTCAATGAGAAGTTCTGCTGAATTGTGAACCAACCTCCGATCTAGTCTCAACATCTTATAATCCCCATCCAGACTAAAGACACATCCTCCCCAAATCAGAGACACACTTATAATCAGGTTCTTCTGGTGCTACTTTTTCCTCCCTGTGAAGTTATTGCACCCCTATACTAGATTCACTCTCACAGTGTGAATCTAAGACTCAATGATCCTGTTCAGTTACCAGTGTCTGCAAAACAGTGTTAAATACTCACACAGAAACTGCTTTTTCTTCTCCAAGGTCAACTCATGAAAAACCTCCCAGAATATTTTAATTGTAGGATGGTCTGCCCAATATTCTCCTTTGTATTCTGTATTCTAAAACGATCAGAAAATGGGGTTATTCCTGTTGAACTAGTAGAATAACTGTAGAATAGCCTGAAACATGACACTAACACTAAATTGAACGTGTGCATCTTTTGTTCACTTTTACCCTTCTAACAAAATACACTGCATGCAGCTGCCCTCCAGTTCAATGCAATTTTTCTTCCTTTCTCTCTCTCAAGTCCAATGCCTTCAGAAAATAGAAGGGAAAACTAGAGAGGGCAGGCAAGTAATATTTTAGTGTCTTCATTCACTGACGGTAATCAAAAACGCCTCAGATACGCAGCCAATTCAATAAAGGCTGAAAAATCGTATTAGCCACATTAACCACATTAATGAAGAAAGCAGGGCTAGAAAGGACACATTAGAGATTTTGTTTTGCATCTTGAAATTAAAAATATATGAAACAAGTTGCCAACTGTGGTCTTACCTTCTCCAACTCCTTCCAATCATAATTTGTGTTCCCAATCACCATTGCCTGCAACTCACTGGGCTGGAAGAGCTGAAGAACTTTGCCTCCACACACTTTGTGGAAGCCTGCATGGAATGCATTGAATAAGGAAGCCACTGATTTATTGAAGATGTAATCCACATACGCATCCACAAAATCTTGCCTGTAAGAAGGAAAAAAATGCAGTCATACTAAAGAAAAGAAAATATGCTATCAATAAAACAGTAGTCACTTAAGTATAAAGCAGAGCATATCATATTACGCTAAAAAAGAAAATCTAATATATTGTATTCTCAAGTCAGTGTTATGCATATAGTGAAGATAGGCTGAATGAAGCTGAATGAAAGTGGTAGACAAGTTGTTTCCCTTTTTTTTTCTTTTTTCCTCCTCTCTCCTCCAAAACAGATTCTGCAGTGCACAGCAGAAACAGAGAGAGTCATTGTTATTTATTCCAGGGACTGTGACCATTTCTCTTGTCTGTATGCATTGTAGGGAATTAGTCTGAATGGTACAGGCTTGAAGGCTTGAATTCCGTGCTCTGCTGTGAAACAGATTATTCAAAAGCACTGTTGTACCTTTAATTAAAGGAATTACCATACGTGTACTCAAAATGCCAATTAGGTTCAAAGGGATGCGAAGTCCTACATGGTAAAAAGATCAGGGCAAAGAAGCTAAGCTACTGAAAAACAGACCGTTATTTGTACTTCAGCACAAAGAATTGTCCTATCATTTTGGAAATATTCACTAGCTTACCACAGTAATATTAGCATATTCATAGCAGCTAAGGGGATCACTCGAATTCACTGATGTGATACGATAGCTCTGATTATGATGAGGAAAAAAAAAAAAAAAAGTTAATACTCTTGGCATCAGAGTGACTTCATCACCCCATTAAGGAGGCATTGCCACTGCATACAGCTGTGCTTGGGTTTGGGACCCTCAGTCTTGACTCATCCCTCTCTCCTCTGTGGCAGACCGAGCTACAGAAAACCTGGCCCAAAACACAGAAACAGGGACAGGCCAGCACACGTTCAAAGGTACGTTCTCTTTCTTGTCTTCACAAGACATAACCCTGCAGTTTGTTCTCTCCGTTTACTTCTTCTTGAATCAAAAGCACAGAGAGGACATGACGATTAAAGGACATAAATAAGGATGGGCTGAGAAAATGTGCAAAATGGGACAAATGTGCCACTAGAAACACACTGCTCACCCTCCAGATGCAGAAAGGAAGCCAAGTGCAGTGGAGGGATGCTAATTTTATAAACAGAAGTAGCTGAATCCATGGCTGGGGGAAACTCCCCTCACATACTCACTCGGCAATGACACTAGTGAATGTTAGGCTAAGTTATTTGCCCTACAATCAGCAGCCTTTCCTGAAAGTTTTATTTCAAATGTATAGAGTGGCTACACAAAGGTATCAGCATGAGGTTTTCGCTTTTACTCATTACATTTTAATCATACTATAACTTGCAAAGTCCCAAGCATTTTCATCTTATAAAATTAACACAACATATTTAAAGTAGGCCCTAGAGAGGTCAAGGCAAAAAAGAAATGTTACTTATTTTGAGAAGAATTATATAGTCTCTCAACAACTAGTAAATCCATAATTGTAAGTGTAGTATGTTTTAACAGCATAAATGAAACTATAGCTGGGAAAAAAACAGCCAAAGCAGTTTTTCCTCCACAACTACCGTAACAACACAGCTAAGTGTAACAGCCCAGTTACACCGCAAAGCAGGCAGGAACACTGACCTACCCCGTGCGCCATAAAACTCACCTATTTTGTTTGACTACAGGAATGTCAGCACCATTAGGAACAAGCTCTTTAACTTCTGTTGTACCAAAATTTTCCACAGTGATCTATTTAAAACAAACAAAAATAATACAGATTTTATTTACTGTCAGAGGACTTCTTCCTCCCACCTAGCTAAAGGCAACACAAAGGACACTCACTTAACACAAGCAGAAAATGCTAAAATTCATGGGGATCAGAAGCTGTTTGTTTTGCTTAAACTCAGACACAGTCATAATAGACCGTAAAACCTACTGAAAAGTGCTTTAAACAACATTTAAAACTTACAGTAAAATTAAGACAAAATATTTCCTCTATGTCATCCTCCGGATAGTCCAGTAACTGTTGCATGCTCCTGCAAAATAAATTACCATATATTTGTACCAGTAGAAAGAAAGATTAACTTAAGTTTCTGAAGTTTTCTTTATGCTTTGATAATTCTAGGGGTAAAGAAAACTCTTTCTACTGTTACATATCCCTTATTATCTGGCTGACTTGCACCTTGTAGTGCAGTGGCATGAAATTTCAAGCAACTCACGCTGCTTTTAAACTACAGTAGGCAGAGGTGGGCATGCAAAGAACTGTTCTATTCTTATTACTTGTGGAGGGGATTCCTTTGGAGTTGATTCTCCAGGTTTAACAAGAGAGGATCTCTACTTCCTCCCTATCCCCTCCCATGTGAACCTCCCCTTAGGGCTATTCAGAGCTCTACTCAGAGACAGATATTTAGGCATGCCTTTAGTCAGGAAACAGTCTAACTGGGCAACATTTTTGCTTAAATAAGGTGTTCAGAACTATCTTTGCGCATACTTTTTTTTATAAAATGAATGGATGAAATCCAGTTTTTTTTTTGATTTTTAGATTTTTTTCCCCTAAAATTCTTGTAGGATAAAAACAGAAGATAGAAAGAACAAAAAACAAGCATTTAGAAGCAGGTGTTTAACAATAAAAACTCTTATATCAAATGGCACGATGGCTACAAGTTAGAGATGTTTATTCTATTAATACAAATACTAATCATTAAATATTTCCTTCTCTTCAGAAGAGTGTAAAAATTCTTAGAATTACTCATTTTTCCTTCTTGCTTACCTGCCAACATCTGGCATCAGCTCTTTTAAATCATCCAGTGATGGCTTTTTATTCAACAGCTTTTTGTACAAAGCCAAAGGGAAATGAAGGTCCACGATAGTAAAATTATATATTGCTAGGCCACAGACAACACCAATCAAATGGAACAAGTCACTGTCTTCAAAAGTCTAAGAACAGAAAAGAACAGAAAACAAACAATTTAAGTAATTTAAAACAACGTTATCTAACCTCACAGAATTCAGGAAAAAAAAGTACAGTGAAATATAAACCAGTCTATTTTCCGTAAGTAGATACATAAGCATTAGTACTGCAGAAAACACGATCAAGTTTTAACCAGCTGAGTGAAAGATTAAAATAAACAGGATTCTTCCTACTCCTAAAGCAATAAATAAACAAAAAACAGCAAAACGTCAAAAGGCTGGCAGCAGAAAAATGTGTTTAAAGTACTGCAGAAAGATAGTCAGTGATTTATTATTACACCATTCAGTTGTTAAATACCTAGAATTAAACAAACAAATAAAACCCCCCAAAACATATACTCACAGATAACTATATGCATGTTTTGATAAATACTTAGTCAAAAAGTTAAAAAGAAAATTCGTCACAGCAGACTGGACCCTACCTTATCAGAGAACCAGATCAGTCGCGACTCTTCGTAATATCTGAACATGCCATATTTGGGATCTAGCAGCTCCCTCATGATAAGCAAAAAAAATTCTTTGCGAACACCTCCAGCATCAACTGCTTCTTCCCCTACAAAAATAACCTGAAACACACTTCAATTAGCACAGTGGCTTAAAACTGGAACATAAAACTGATTCATATGAAAAATAATTGCACATGCCAGAAGAGATTTGGAGCAATGTACACTGATAATACCTTGAGTGGTTTCTTGTAGTCTACGTTCTTAGTTTTCCTTAGGACTTCCACAGCATCTCCCACAATATTGTCTCTTCTCACCATTAATATCAGGCACGGGTTGACAGATTCAAACACAGGCAGAAAGAGAGACGATAAATTCTGCCTGTGAGCCTGATCAACAGCCATCTGGGCAAAAGAAAAACAAAGTAAAAATGTTAATAGGCAATATTAGATGCCTGTCAACATTAAAGTAAGTCCATCACTCTAACTTAAGAGGGAGAGGAGACAGGAATGGGGATATCCATTAGGGGAGCTGGAAAACTCGCACAAGTTTTCTTCCTATTTCTTTAATCTCAAACAGGAATATATTTCTTTTCCCCACTAGCCTCAATACTAATATTCAGGGAGGTCTTAGAATGTAGCTTTTGAACATTACAATTAAAATACTTGAAAGAAAAAAACAAAATCACAAATAACAACAAATTACTATATATTATCTAACAAGCAAATGAAGAGTAATGTGTTTAATACAAATCTGGCACAAAAGCAGCCATTAGAAAGTGATTTATGGATTTTATGGAAAATGATTTTTCATCTATCACCTATTTCTTTTTTTACTATTTGAGTTGTAATTATTTAGTAACATTTTGAACGTGGCATGAGAGATGAAATAGTGCATTTGGGATGCAGTAAATAGTCAAGTGCAGCCAACATGTTGCCTCACAGAGATAAGATACAACCCATCTTGAAAACAGCATTAGCTCCCAGGCTGCATCATGAGGAGAAATGATAAGTAACAGAAACTCGCTGCTCCCTCTGACAAGATGCCTCTGCTTTGGCTCCAGCTCCTGGCTCTGCAGTAGCCCTTTTGCAGTTCATTTAAAAACTGCTTTGTAAAAATACATACAGATACATGCAAACCCATATATGTACACACACATATTTTGTATTTGTTTAACATCTGTACTATGGTTTGTTAATACCTGGAAGAAGAAATCTGGTTAACGAAAAACAAACACACAAACAACTCGCACTTATTTATATAATTACAAATGTACCAGGCTCTTATCATGTTATGCATCCAGAAGGGAAAAAACAAACAAACAAAAAACAAAACAAAAAAAAACCACCCAAGACATCAGAGGAAATTATACTGAGTTAGGAAAAAAAAGAAAGAAAAAAAAAGAGAGGGAAAAAAAAGCAAAATGTTAGGAAATGACACTCTTACCTGCATCTGTATGACCGCATCTGTTTGCAAGAGAGTTGTCTTTGCTTGGGCATCAAATACAAATGGGTATGTGCAAATTGTAACAGGAATATCTGTTAACTAGAAGCATGAGAATCATGTCATAACTCTGCTTATTAAAAACACAATGATGGTTATAAAAATGGTATTTTAATATATTAATTTTATAGAAAAGTAGTAAGTTTTTACTCACTGTTAATGCAGGACCAAGAAGTTTTTCACGTAAGTATATTTTCAGTCTTTTAGTATTTCAGCAAACCATAAAAATCCCAAACACCTAATATATTTTAATTTCAGAACTTTTATTATGACTACTGGACATAGCCAAAAAAAAGTTCTAATTTTGAAGTTTGCAACACGGAGAAATATCTTTGCCCCAAGAACAATCTTAGTAAATAAGCTGATCAGTTTTATCCAGCAAGACAGTTTAGAAACTCTTTTCCAATTACAGCCATAGTAACTTAACGCATTATTACCAGAAGAACCCATCAAACAGTCCTTGACAACCTTATTTCTGATTTCCTTACGTTCTGCAACAACAATCAGAATGCAACCAATCTTACCTCAGTTAATCCATGGTTGACATCCTATGACAGCATTTGCACAAAGGCAGCAATAATTAAGATGAAAAAGCAGCATTAGTGTCTGCATTAATTATTCATCTCTGATGTTGAGTTAAAAATATTTAGCTACAGCTTTTTCCCCAAAAAAGAATGTTTACTGAAAAATAAATAACCGCCATAAACATTTTAGTTAGTCCACCAGATACAACCATGTCCTTCAACACATTGTATCAGTTTCTTGGATGCAAAAAATTAAACATTGTAAATGTTTATTTCCAAACGAAGTGTATGGAAAGGAAAACTAACTTTATGCATTTTCATTCTCAAATTATTATAGTGCATTAAATCCAAGACATTTCTAATGAGTAAAGATTTAAAGACACAGAAGGAAAAAATATATATACTTGAGCATAAAAATCCCAAGAATCATTTGGTTCTACAACATTGCTTAAGATAAAAGCAACCAGGTCTTGAAACTGCCAGAAACTTCAGACAGACTAACTCAAATTGTTGGGATAGTGCTAAGAATTTTGCAACAAGCTAGATCAACTCGGATGAGAAACTTGCGAGTTACCCATGCGGTGCTACTTGACCCTTTGGAAAAGCTAAGCCTATTTCTGCCTTATGGTCACAAAGGGACAGTGTATGCAGACATCTATGGCTAAAAGCAATGATAGCCATAACACCATCTTCTACAGTCTTCCCCATCCCTATCCCTCACTCCTCAAAGCAAACACCAGATCCAAGTCACATGTTGCAAGGGAATTAATGTAACTCTGTTACTGTGTCTGCCATTATTTATTCCTAATTAAAACAGTCTGTAACTCCTTTAAGCAGTATCTCGGTTATTTTAAGTAGCTTCAGTCTTTCTCCACTCATTTTTCTCCTGTTGAAAGGAAAATGGAAGTTTTTCCAGGAATTTGCACTAGAACCCAGGAAAACAACACGATATTTAAAAAAAAAAAAAAAAAAAAAACTTAAGGACACATTAGAAGTGCTAATACAGTAATTATTTTAAAACTTGGTTATGTTACAAGCTTTGATGTCAAGTTCAGTGCTAAGAACTGTTTCTCTGCTCTGTATTCAGAGTGAACACTTAGCTTATAGGAGGTAGAGAAGGGGACTTCTCATGACTGAAAGTGTGGAGCAAAACCAGTATCTGCTTTCATTAAATATGTCCTTCATCTCAAGAAGGGGTATCACAGCACAACATTTCTTTTATCTTTTTCCCCTCTAAATTTAACTAAGGAATTGAACAGTTATGCTTCAAGTTATGACAATAAAAGTAACACTAGTGAAAAAAAAAATATGATTATTATTGTTTCAGGAGGCAAGTAGAGTTTTTGATTGTTTTAAAAGCAAGAAGAGAAGAAAACCAAGAGGTACAAAGGCAAGGAGCATACACTTATGAAGGAGAACAGACTAAAGACACAGAATTTCTTTCAGTCCCATAATGAACCCAGTGACCTTTTTTTTGTTGTTTGACTTAAAGCTGGACAAATGCATGACAAAATAATGGTTGAAGGAAAAGCAACTATTTTCTCCATAATGCCAAACTACTGCTCCATTTCCTGATCTGGTTATCAAGTGGAGTTTAAGAGTTTCCTTAGAACTCAAATTTCCAGCTCTCATTTCACCACGTTTATTACTTTCTTCTCTCATCATGACGTTGGCAACATAGGTTTGTTTACATCCATTTAAACACAGTTGCCAGGATCTTTCCAATTCCCCTTCCCAAGCACACCCTCCTCTCCAAATAGACTGCCTGTCCCCGCTTCCAAGGCCCCACAATCACACGGAATCACGGAATGGTTGAGGTTGGAAGGGACCTCTAGGAATCATCTAGTCCAAGCCCCCTGCTCCAGCAGGGACACCTAGAGCACGGGGCACAGGGTGGCATCCAGGCGGGTTTGCAAGATCTCCAGAGGAGAGCCCACAACCTCCCTGGGCAGCCTGTTCCAGTGCTCTGTCACCTCCCCCAGTACCATTTGGCACATTGCTCCTCTCAGCTACTAGCACCAGCCTCATCATGGGCTAGTTACATTTTTAGTCAGGGACATTTCTGTTTTTTTCCCCACTCTAGGATTATTCATACTTAAGGGAGGCTTTCTGGGAACCTTCGGCAACATCAGTGAGTTCTCTTTCAAAATATTTCTCAGAACTCTGTTTTAGTGCAGACAGCTCCTTATGCAGCTTGGCCAAAACAGCTGTCTGTCATGACTGTCAATAGCGACTCATTATTTCTTCACACTCCCTGATCTCCCTTCTGTTGTTACCTTTATATTGCAGTTTTAGATTCTTTGGGCGTGAGATTATCACTAACTTCGTATTCGTACAGCACACTGCCAAAGTGGGTTATAACCAGTGTTCAGAGCCTTCCAGACTGCTGCTGAAGAACTGAACTTAGACGGCTAGAGCAAGCATATGAGTTTACTTGGTACTCCTCCAAGGCACAGGGGAAAGACCTGTGTGGCAAAATCCTCCTACCCACCTCATTAAATCTCTGCAGAGTCATTCATTTACTCCCACTTACCACTCCACTGTTTATAGATCCAAGAATTAGTTAGTTCTTGCAGCTACACTCACAGTCAGCAACAGTTATCCATCCGCCTGTAACTCCTTAACAACACTTCTAAATTCCATTTTCCAGGTTGATTTCTGCTTTCTCCCCATCTACATTTTTCCTAATACCAAGATTTAACACTGATCCCTAGCTCACACAGCAATTCAAGTTATTCTGGATATCTTCTTATCATAAATTACTTCCCTACAAAAAAAGATCTTGGTTTGACATTATTCCAGATTGCTTATTAACTGACAGATTAAAATGCTGAACAGTGTCCATCCTACGAAGAGCCCCTCCACGAGGCACACCTACTTAACTCATCCTCAGCTACTGCCTGACATAAGTCATACCAGACATAAGAAAGTAACCAGATTTAGAGAATCTACTAACTTCTATAAAGGAAGAGAAACAAGTCAAGACAAAAAAAACAAACTTACCATTCCAAATACCTGCTGCTGGACCCAGTTGAAATAGTCATTTCTGATATCTATCAAATCTGGTATCTCATGAATATAAAATCTGTCATACTGTATAACTTGTCCTCTTTCATTTACCTAAAGAAGTGAATTTTTTTTTTGTTATCACTTTGTGCAAGATTTTTTAAAAGCATTTTCTGTATTTTCAAACAATTAATTTGTCTGTCATAAATACTCACCTACTAAAAAAACAATTTTAAAAGATCAAAGAAAACAAGTGTCTGTAAGAATATAAAGAGGACGTTTAAAACACAGAAACATGGATTATTTAACTATCTCAACTAAACTGCAAGGGAAAAAATAGGATTAGCTGAGCATAAAATGTTGTACTACTGCCATTTTCAAACATCATATGATCTCACAGAAACCATATTTGCCTATGACTGAGTCATTTGTACTATGAGTAAGACAGTCAAAGTACAAAAGAAACATTATATAAAAGCCTTTCTGTACAGTTTTAATCCAGGAGCTTCCTATAGGAACGCAAATTTATTGCACTGTAATGCACACTTTCCCTAAAAACAGATAAGCACTGTTGACTGCCACAAATGTAAGCTCTTCTGACTGTATAACCAGGTAAACCAAGTCTGTTTTTCTTAAAAAGACCTCCCCCAACCAAAAAGCAAGAGATACTGAAGCAGTCAAACATTCTACAGTGTTTTCCCATTCATTCCTTCATAGGAGGTGATTATTTAGAAAACACCAATATAAGCACCTGGGCAGCACTCAGGTAAAAATGTGACTATTTCTACTGTGTAGCCATCTGTTCATTACAGACGGGTTTCCCAAAAAAACAGAACTTAGAAGAGGAGAGCCAGACTGGATTCAAATGGATACACAGCATCAGCTTCAAAGACAACCATCAAATCTGCTGGCAAATTCAGTGGGTTTGTTGTTGTTTCATTTTTAAGTTGTTTTACATGTACAACAACATCCAGTTGTTTTACAACTGGACACAAAAGTTCAGTTTGGATGCCTGCCCCATTTTGCTATATTGTACAAGTAAAGTAACTGGATGAGCACCTTAGGGAATGTCTTAAACCCTCTTTAAGCATATAAGCACAAAGAGCAGTATGATCAGAATAAAATGGTGGGAGGACAAATGACAGAAAGCCCAGCAGCAACTAGCTAAAACAGTTTCACAGTTTTGTGCCATGCCTAAATTGGGTTACTCCAAATTACCTGGAGTATTTTGTTCAAGGCTTATAAATTCATAATTTTTTAACAAATTAAATTGCCATATTAATAGCCTGAAAAAATAAATCGGAGAAATATTTGTCTTGCTAAATTTTTTATTTGAAATAGGGTTGTTTTCCCCTTCCATTTCTGATTTTATTTGCTTATTTCAAGCTGAGATGCAGTTTTGTCCATGTACCCTCCTAGACACAGTTGACTAAGTCCATCTGTGTTCCCAAGAAAATGGGAAATTCTGTCAGCATGTCAAATTGGAATACAGAATTCCAGTGCTTCAGAGGTCCTGATGGACAGCTACAGATATTTTGTAGTTGCTAAGTCAAGTCTAAATATTTACAACTCTTTAGTTAACTTCCTTAAAGGGCTATACTGCACACAGATAATGACAATAACAAACAGATAAAACATTTGGTTAAAATTGATTCAAACTTACTTTATGCAGAATTTCCAGAACTCTGAAAGCCGTGTGTAGAAAGTTGGTGAATATTCG